GTTTGGTAGCTGCAGATTTTAAATGAATTAAAAGCTTTTTCACTAAAACGTTCCTGGAACACACCTCTGCCAACAGGGGAAAAAGAAAAACAATGACAAAAGACAACAACCAGTACCAGTGGTTAGCAACCTGTCAATTGTATCTTCATTTGATTATCTTGGTGGAAATACAGCAGACCATAAGGCAAAGGAGGAAACAAGAGAAAGCAAGATGTTTCTGATATTTTACTACAGTGGCAGAACATACAGAACAAGCAACTGGAATTTCAAAGCTGCTCAGCACCTAAGGAAGAAATCAAGCCATGTGGCTATAACATATTTCAGGATGGATAGGTTACAAAAAAAAAAAAAAAAAAAAATTTAGTCTACCTGCATAGCGCACAACAACTGTAACCTACCAACACAGCACACAGCAGCCAGCCATACCATGAGTGGGAGGTCAGATCACAGCATCTGCTCAAAGCCTCAGCACATCTGAAGTCCCTTTTCTGGTCTACTTGAAAGCCACGTCCCACCCCCACATGATTCACACCCCCTCACACCAACAGCAGGCTACCGAGGAGCTCTGCAGTAGTTTCTTGAGAGGAAGAGGTCATTCAGGACAATCAAAGCAGGGGCAGCAGCACCCAGAATAAAAAGAACAAGATTCTTTGTAGTTTCCAAGCATTGTCTGGCCACACAGACAACCCGCATTTGTGGAGTGACGCAATATGGAATTGTCATTATGTACATGGCCAAGATGTTCTCTCCAGTACGATCGTCTTTGATAAATTGCAAGGGCGCTCGGTTTCAACTTATTTACAACTGGAATAAGCCCCACAGTAATGTGCTGCAGGAAACAACAGGCCACTGAGACTGCTGGAGCAGAAGGATGTCAAAGGGAAAGGCCGTAAAAAGAGAGAGAAAAAGAGTACCTGAATACTTACAATAAATAAAATCTTTGTCCCCAGGAGCAGTAGCAGCACAAACTCACTGTTCATCCCACCACTGCTCTTCACCAGAGTTCTGCCAGGACTAAGGATCACTTTTATAAAAAGATTGCTGCCTATTACATAGATCTTTCCTTCTTTCTGGCCACTATTTCTGTCATTTCACTTTAAAGTAACCACACATTTACAGAAAAGAATACCCTTCTGAGTCTTAATGGCTTGTAATGATCCTCCAGAAAAAGATCACTGTTGTTTTTACATAGCACACAGCAGGGAATCACTTCTCCACCAGCTGAGGGCTTCCCCCAACCCAGCCAAGTGCCACATCTGATCTCTACAGCACATTTCCCTAAAACATTATTAAAGCACACACAAATGTGCTCATTCCTTGTGGAAAAAAAAAAAAAAAAAAAAAAAAAGAAGTTGCACCAGAGGATCACATGCCCTCTTAATCCCAGAAACTTCAGTCTTCATACACGAGGCCTGGATTTCTGTGAACTCTTTGCAGCCAAACTGTGGGTCACAGCTCTCTGCTGGCAGCCTGCTTCTTGGCTGCACAGCAGCAGGGTGAAAGGGAGTCCCACCAAGCACAAGAGCAAGCAGTGAGCTTACACAGGAATGCTCGGCCTGAAGGTCAGCTCTATGCAAAACAGCATTTTCCAGATCTTAACCTGGATAGCACTTCTCTTTTACCCTCCAAAGTTATCCTAGAAAAACAATCACCAGGAAAGCAAAGTGTTGAAATAATCACACTCAGCATCACTGCACCTGTACAAATTAGGAGAAAACAGTCATGTTTTCAGTTTTTGCCTTCACTACTCTTTATCCAAAAACAGCCACCCCGAGCCTCCTTGTGCATCCGCCTGCATGTTCTCAGTCCAACTATGCACACCTCTAGCCATAAGGCTACAGCCAGGCTCAGACATGAGCCTTTTCTGCTGCAGGTTCCCAGTGCTAAGTACTCTTTCAGTAGCTTTGTATTTGAGTTGCCCTCTGGAAACATTTAGGCTGGAAAAGCATTCCTCTCGGAGCAACACCATTTGCTCTACTTGTTCAGTCAACGTTAACAATAATCACCAGAAAAATATTAAAACACAAAGCTGACTAAAGCAAACACACATCTTCAAAATGGCCATCTCAAAAACTTAACTTGGCATACAAAAGGATAACTGGAACCCAACCAAACAGTCCTAGAATTCCACCTGAGAACTAGATACTAACAAAGTTATCATTTAAGGATAGATAAGGTAGGCACTGCTGCTTAACTGCTCCACCTTGATGCAGCAAGAGACTACCTCCTTCCAGCCCTCCTTTATCCCATGCCATCCAGAAAAATCCTCCCTTCTTGCAGAGGACCGAATTTAGTGCACATCAATATTTCATAACTTCATCCTGTCAAGAAATCAAACAGAAATACTTAAGGGCACTCTTCCAGGAGGATGCACATCTTAACTCCAAGCATGAAACCACATTCATCATAGCCTTTCTCCCCCTTCCAAATACAAGGCCTGAAGGTGAGGCAGCAGTGAAAAACATGAGATCTTGTATGAATATAATGTAAGAGCATTACCCATGGTGCACTACCTCCATTAAAAAAATGCAGAAACAATGCAGCAAAGCTGGTCTCCTGTGAAGAAAATATACCTCCAGCATTTCAGCCCCCCTTTACCTCCTGGTGCTACACAAGAAATGAACTCCATCCCAGCACCTCACGATGATCAGATACCCAGCCTGAAAAACAATCAGCTGCTAGGACAGAGCAGCCAGCCATGAAGACACAGGATCACTGAATGCCTTGGTTTGGAAGAGACCTCCAAGATCACACTGGTCTAACCCCCTTTGCTATAGGCAGGGCTGTCCCCCACCAGCTCAAGCTGCCCAGGGCCCCATCCAATCTGACCTGAACAACTCCAAGGATGGGGCATGCACTGTTTCTCTGGACATCCAGTGCCAGTACCTCACCCACTTCTGAGAAAAGAATTTCCTCCTAACATCTAATCTAACTCTCCCCTCTTTTAGTTTAAAACTGCCTCCTCTTTTCCTGTCAAAGTCAGAAGGTGCCTGAAGACAGATATTACCATGTGCAGTGCATGCAGCTCCCACCAACCTCAACAGGAGCTCAGCTCTTCAGGAACAGAACAGGCCACTTCCACACCATTACTGCTCCAATGTGCTGGTGACTACCTGCAAGCTGTACCTTCAGAGACGTGGAGATGAGAGCTCTACCCTAACCTGCCTTAGGCAGTGGCATAGGATTACACACATTTGGAACAGATTTTGCACTTCCTTCAGAACCACATCAAGAAATTCTGACAGAGCTCTACTTGGCAGCTTTGCAGGACAAAGACAGGCACACAAGGCAAGCTCCCAGGACAAGAGTTGCTCAAGTTACCTGTCAACACACTGCATGTTCCCTGCTTATCTCCTCAGGACACCATGCACTGATTCATGACTCTTGTTCCTCTTGATGCAAGACAGCTTCCCTTGAAGATAGGAAAAGCATCCTCTTCGTACCACTGAGACCGGCGTCTGAGTTCTTTATAAAATATTGATCTGTCTGCCATCTGCAGTCCCTTAAGTTAAAAGGTACATCTGCACGATGAGGGAAGGCAGGCCTGAGAGCCTTTGTCTGTTCCCTGCACAGCTGCCTCTGTCTGGGCATCCCAGGACATGGTCACACAGAGCCCAGAACTGCCCACGTCCACCTACGTAGTGATGTGCTTCAGGTGTGAGCAGGTGACAAGCAGCCCTTGAAAAAAGCCAGCAGTACTTCTGTCTCTGCAATGTTCTTCTCATCTGGCACAAGACACCCCCCAGAAAACACACCCAAAGTAGGGGAGGAAGGGAAAAGATTGCTCACCTCTGAACATCCACAGAGCTCTCTCATCTCCCTCCAGAGGGAGCAATTCTAGAGGGAGCAGAGAGGCTGAGAAGGAGCCTGACATACAGAGAAGGAAATCAGTAAGTCATCAATACATGTGCCCTGTTAGAGCCTGAACCGCTGCCAGGAATTGCAAGTGAATTGATAGCCTTAAGTGCAGTGACTGGAGGCCATCTTGGCTGCTTCAGGGACAGGAGGTACTACCACAGGAGGAACTCCTTCACACAGCAGCTTTACCATTATTGCAGGACAACATCGGTTTGGCAGCACGAAGAACAGCCAGCTGCAGCTAAAATGGCAGAGCAGCTTTCACCAGCCTGCTCCAGCATGGCAGCTCTGGGCAAAGGCTGGGAAGCGTGCCGCAGAACCAAGGGACAAAGTCAAAAAGCCCTGGCTGGGATTGCTGCAGGGTTATGGGAACTGCAGTTAAGCAATAACCCAGTCCCAGTCCTGCCTAGCACACGGGGAGTCACAGCACACAGCGCTCACGCTCCTTTCTCACTTTTCAAACCAACGGAAAACTTTGTGAGAGCTCCGATCTGTTCCAGCAAGCAACTACAAGGCCACTTCATATACTAACAAAACGCACAGCCCAGACACGTTTCCAGATTTTGAGTTATCCTCTGCATTCCGTCAGGGATGGGAAAGCAGGACGGTTTCAGGGAGCCACGATGCAACGCCATCGCGAAGCAGCACTGCGAGCCTCCGGAGAAACCCCTGCGCTGCCCAAGCACCGAGCGTTGCCTTCTCAGCGGGCACCGCCGCCACCCAGGCTGGCTCCTCATCCCCTGGGCTGGAGGCACACGCACACCGATTGGTGCAGGTGGGCGCCCAACCGAACAGCAGTACGAAGTTGTCCGGGAGCCGTGCAGGCACCTCGCGTCACCCCTGGTTCTCACAGCTCCGCCGCTTTCCTAGCAAGCTGTGACAGGCGACGTGCCCGGCTCCGCCGTGCGATATTCCCCCTCCTCGGCCCTGCTGCAGCATCGCGCCACCGCACCGGCTCTCCTCCCACACCGCTCTAACCTGGGCTGGCGGCGAGCAGCCTCCCGCACCCCGTCACGCTTCGTTCAGTCGCGAGCCCGAGCCCCCGGCACTGCCGACACCGGAGCCCCGGGGCCTCGCGGCCGCCCCCTGCACAGCTGAGAGCGGCCCGACCCCCGCGCGGCCCCGCCGCCCGCCCCACGCACCGCTGTCCAGCCGGGCGATCTGCGGGAGGCGGTAGGTGCTGACGAGCAGGTCCAGAGGGACGGCCACCGCGCTCCACTTCACGTCCTTCAGGCTGAAGCCCAGCGAGGAGCCGGGGTCCATCTTCCCGCCTGGCCCGGGCAGGGCAGCGGCGCGGAGGGGAGGGAACCGGGCGGGCAGCGCAGGCGGGGGTCGCTCCCACCCGGCGGGACGGCGGCGTAAGGGAGGGAGAGGGAGGGAGGGAAGCGGGGAAGCAGCTCGCCGCGCTCAGCGCCGGCTACCGCCGCGGGACATGCTGGGCTAAGCAGAGGGGGAGGCCCGCCGAGCGGCCGACGCTGCTCCCGCCGCCCCACGGCACCGGCTGGGGCCGCCCGCCGCCGCGCCTGGCCCAGGAAGCGCCATCCCAGCACTGACTAATCAACAGGGTGCGAGCAACGCCTGCGCAGCTGCCGCTCCTCCCCGCTCCGAAAAGGAAAGTGCCGGGCTGCCCGCCCGGCGGGGCGCGCCGCCGCCCAGCCCGGCCCTCTCACTCCACCCTCCGACCGCTCGTCCGACGTGCAGGGGCGGGGCGGCCGCCGCGGGCTGCAGGTGGGCGCGGGCGCTGGGCGACCCCGCACCTGGAACTGCCGCGCAGAGCCGTGGGGCGATAAGGCTGCGGGTTCGGGGCTCGCGTCAGGCACGGAGCTAACACCAGACCGCGGGGCTCTGCGTGTGCGTTTATGCTTCGTTATCAGTCCGCCTGTTTAGCGTAGCGAAGTTCCATCCTACATTAAAAAACAAACAAACAAACAAAATTATGTACTAACTTTATTATTTTATTTTTCACTCATCAACCATAAATGGAGTTTCAAGAGTGGAGAGCAGTACGCAGGCACTGGAAGAAGATCTCTGGTGTATTTATACCGCTGTCACTGCAGGCATAGGTATTGTGTACCCTATTCAGTTCTCTTAACAAAACTGAAAATCAGCTGCTTGTTCTCCTTTCTCAATGCTCTCTGTGATTGAGCCCCTCATAAGAAGGACACTGAGGCCCCAGAGTGCATCCAGAGAAGGCTAATGAGTCTGTGAGGGGTCTGGAGCACAAGTGTGATGGGGAGCGGCTGAGAGAACCGGGACTGCTCAGTCAGGAGAAGGCTCAGAGGAAACCTTATTGCTCTTTATAGCCCCATGAAAAGAGGTTGCAGGAACTGGGAGTCAGCCTCTTCTCCCAGGTTAACAGTGATAGGACAAGAGGTGATGGCCTTAAGTTGCACAAGGGGAGGTTCAAGTTGGATATCAGGAAAAATTTCTTCTCCAAAAGAGTGCTGAAGCACTGGCATAGGATCCCCAGGCAGGTGGTGCAGTCACTGTCCCTGGAGGTGTTCACAAACTGTGTGGACGTGGCACTGAGGGCCGTGGTTAGTGGGCATGGTGGGAATGACGGTTGGTCTAGGTGATATTAGTGGTCTTTTCCAACATTAATGATTCTGTGATGCAGTGAAGTCTTGTGTGATCTCCACAAGGTCAAACTGGGTGTTAGGAAAAGGTTTTTCACCAGAGAGTGGTCAGGCAGTGGAACAGGCTCCCCAGGGCTACGGCACCGAGCTGCCAGAGTTCAAGGAGTGCTGCACAACACACTCAAAGGGTTTGGATTTGGGTGGTTCTGCGTGGAACCAGGGGTTGGACTTAGTGATCCATGTGGATCCCTCCCAACTCTGGATACTTTTTGATAAAAGAAAATGTTTTTCGACCCCCCACAGCTCCTTATCTGCCTGCAGCCCCCCCACCCCTCGCTCTTCCTGTCCTGCATCAGGCCCAGCCATAGCTGCATGCTATGTGGCTGCTGCCAGCAGTACTACAAGAACAAGGAGAGCTGAGACAGATCCGCTCTTGTTCTGCTTGGCTGCAGACAGACTTGTCCATGCTCTAAGATGAAATGACCACTATGGAAGCCGGAGGGAGTGACACAAACTTAACTTGCTTTAAAAGGGTCTGGGTAGGGGTTTCCCACCCCTATGAAAGTCCTTCATTCTCTGAACTCGGTCCTGGTGATGTTAGATTCCACTTACTGGAATTGCTAGATTCACAAATATGAGACAATGGGTTTTATTTTTTTTCAAAGTCGCTTCCTTTTTATGAAGTTTGCAGAACGCTTTGAACTACTTCAGTGAATTAAGCTATTGAAGTGCAAAGTGATATAATAGCTAAAAGCACTGCTGTCAAAATATGGAAAGCCAAAGTATGGTTTTAACTTGCTTAGGTTTGCCAAGGTTTTTATGCGTGAGGCGAAGCAGATCAGGTCAGACTGGGATTCACTGAGACCAGGAGCACGGGTCTGTCAAGAAGTGGCTCTAAAAGCAACCCACGTTAATTTCAGGACAGACACAGCCTCACCTCACAGGCTTCTCTCAGACATCACACAGCACTGCTGCTTGGGCAGAAACATTTCTCCCACAGAATCACAGAATCGTAGAGACCTCTGGGGATCATGAAGTCCAACCTCCTGTTAAAGCAGGTTCCCTACAATCGGTTGCCCCTTGGTTACTGCTAATTTTTCTTTACAGATTACTTTCTCCTTCAGTTTTAGGTGTGTCATACATCTATTAAGCCTGTCTTCATATATAGCCATGCCAGTGTCTTGTTCCATCAGTAGAAACCCGACTTCTTACCCATTCCATTGGAACAGGATGCATATTTTTAAATGCAACTTAGAGATACCATTTAAATTTCATTTAGTTATTTATAAGCAAAAATAAATTGTAAAGCCTATTTTTATTTAACTGTTCTACTGGAGCTCTTAAATTGACTTTGTAATGTGTCCTACCTGTACTGCAGCTGAACCTTCTTGAAGTATGTTTTACTACTGCATACAAAGTATTCAAATCACTAGAACACAGAATCTCACAACTCTTTCTTGTGTTAACTGTACCTTATGCATAATTAACACTTCAGATATAACCATTTCTCTGATGTTTAGCAATGCCTCAGTCATTCAGTGATCTCTTACCCAAGTCTGCTGCTGGTGCTGCAAAATCTTTAGCCGCCAGATCTTTAGAGAAATGAATGTTGTCACATCTGCTCCAGGACTGGGGCCTCAGTTATGCTGTATCACAGTTTTTGTGCATGTACCTTTCAGGCAGCAGAGACATTTTTTTTTTCTATGTATGTATGGAAAATTGTAGCCACAAAGCCACATGGAGTGGCAAAGGGACTCAAAAACTCCAAAACCTATTCTTCAAAGCATTCTGAACTGACTGGATCTCATGTTGATTTCTTAACATATTCATGTACCAGGAAGAAAAAAAAAAACACCACAGTATTTATTCAATTGCCAATAAAATGATTTTTGAAGCATTTAGGGTGATCATCAGTTCATATCTACACAAACGATGGAAATGGAGCTGTATTAAACAAAGTTTAGCGTGAATCCTCTAGCTTGCTTTATACTGTAGAAAGCATACACTAAATGGATTTCCAAGCCTCATTCTGTAAGATTCGTGTGAAGCCATTTATGTCAGCATTTCTTTCATCACCTATGAAATGGCATTCCTTCTTCCCTCATGACTTTCCCCTTTATCAAAGGCCTGATTAGCTGAATTTACAAGTATGGTGGAAAACAATAGGAGATGCTTTGGTCATTTCAGAATCAGATCCTAAATGCCAACCTTTGAGGTGAGCGGGGAGCTCAAAGAGAACAATATTTGATATAGTTGACAACTGTGAATCTCTTGTTTTGAAAGAGAATGCTATTCCTGCTCTACTGATAAAAATCTTTCCTCATGCAAAGTATTCTGAAGAGATTTGAGCAACCTGATACATTTGTTGTTGTTTGGCAACGTAAATATTTCACCTCCCTAAGATGAGCCAGTGACCAGATAGTACCTAAGCCAATGTAACAGAAAACCCAGTAAAATTAAATGACGTATGGAAGGAATTCCTATTATACAGAGAAACAACAAAACCCCTACTGCCCAACCTGACCCTCTTTTATTGATTTATATTCATTGTTGGGAAGAGGATGAAGAACCAAATAGAGACACAAACTCCAAGAACCAGTAGCAAAACTTGCGTGAGTTCAGGTCAGCTTAAAGTTCAGAACTGCTGAAGGCAGAACTGCAGAATTTGGTCGGTACAGAAGATGGCAAGGAAGTGAACTAACTCAGCTGGATCATGAGATTTTTCAATGACATGAAAGAAAACAGAAAGCAGGTCAAATTACTGAATTATGAATAAACATGTTAAACAACTGGAATTAAAAGATAACAAGGAAGCTGGAAGAAAAAGTGCAGTGAGAAGACCAAGGAAATAACTGGTCTGTTATTCTACAGAGGGAGAAATCTATTTAATTATCACATAATCGCTGATGACACTGAGACACCCTAATGTCTTAAACCTTTGTCTTCAGTTAAAGGCAGATGTGATTTTACTACTAGCACCACTGACAAAGGACTAACAGCTTAAGCAGAAGAATGAAGAAATATCATGGAAAATACTTGTATAAATAAAAGATTTTTGATAGAGTGGATATGATGAAATTCCCGGAGGGTACAAGCCGTGTTAGAGCTGCAAATGATTAACACCAAGAATAAATACAGAATGAGTGAGATTCCACAAAACTGGAAAAGGAAAAAATGTGGAAAGGAAAAAGCACTACAAGCTGATTCTCTTTATTTCTACTCTTAAAAAAAATCCTGGTTTCATAGAATCATAGAATTGCTCAGGTCGGAAAAGACCTTAAAGATCATCAAGTCCAACCACAACCTAACCAGAACTACCCTAACTCTAACAACCCTCTGCTAAATCATGTCCCTGAGCCACATCCAAACGGTTTTTAAACATACCCAGGGATGGTGACTCAACCACCTCCCTGGGCAGCCTATCCCAGTGCTTAGCAACCCTTTCTGTAAAGAAGTGTTTCCTGATATCCAACCTAAACTTTCCCTGGTGGAACTTAAGGCCATTTCCCCTCATCCTGTCACCTACCACCAGTGAGAAGAGACCAGCCCTGCTCTTGCTGTAAGCAGCTTTCAGATATTGGAAGAGAGCAATTAGGTCTCCCCTCAGCCTCCTTTTCCCCAGAAAATTTGAAAAAAATTGAACAGGCAATCCAACCATTTTTAAGCATACTGAAAGTAAATACATGAGAAGTAACAGCATGGGTTTGTCAGTAACAACCAACACCAGATCAACCTAGATCACTTCTAGCAGATGGTAACAGGCTTTGTGAATAGGCTGGAAAAAGTGAGGGTCATAGGGCTGCATGTAAGTTGCTCTTAACTGAAAGGAAAAAATAAGGTCTAGAGAAGTATACAGCATGAGTGCATAATTATACTGAAATATTTGGTACTCCCAAGTTGAAAGGATGTATTGACTGCGACTTCACTGAGATCTGTCTTGAATCCAGAGCTATTTGATATTTCCATCAACATCTTGGATGACTAAATAGAATACACTTATTCACATGCAAAGGCTTTATACACAGGCAAAGGTTCCAGCCATGCTGGAGCGCAGCATGACAATTGAGAAGGATGCTGGCAAATTGGAAAAGATGAAATGACACTAAATAAGGAGAAACAGAAAGTTCTACACACACAGAGGAATAATCCACTGCACAAATAAGTGCCAGGACAGAAAACCAGTTACTTAGAGGACAGATTACACATCACACATGCTAAACAGTTAGCAACGTTAAGCTATCTTACATTATGCTGGTACTGGAATGCATAAGTAGGGAGATCTTCGGTAAGATAATGAAAAAAAAAAAATCAGTTTAACCTCACCAGCTGTGGTTATTTAAACTGGAGTAGTCTGGTAACTTCTCAGTTCTACACTCCAGGATAGCTGAAAAGCAACTCAAAAATAAGAAGCAGCGCACTGAAAATGGCAAAAAAAAGAGTTCTCTGGCCTAAAAAAAGGACACAGAAAGGTATGTACGTACATAGAGAGGAAAGAGAAAACCTGCTTTCCATGTGCAGCAGTTAGGCGAGGTTATTAGGAAACTTCCTGCCTGCAAAACCAGTTCAGTAAGGATTGTACATTACTCAGGGAGACATTGAAATCCCCTCCTTCACCGCAGGTCTTTTAAACATCTTCCTGGAATACAGCAGGGACAGCTGATCTGAGAAAGATAAGAGGAGGAACTAGACAGCCTTTCAAAATCGCTTCCAGCACTATTTTCTTCATTTGCTATGGCTGTAATTAAGGCAGGGATTATCCTTTGTTCTTTAAGATTGTGCTCTAAATGCTAGTTTAAATGACCGGCTAGGAGAGTAGTCTCAGGATCAGCTGTAAATAAGTCAACCTTCTTGTCTTCCACTCCCCTTCTGCAAGCACACTGAATAACTGATGGCACAGTAACCTGAAAGAACGCTCCAGCATATTTGGTCCCACATCCTTCAGAAAGTACCTGAGAGCTGAGGTCACTGTCTCAACACTAAATATGATTGAAAAGACAAGCTGAAGAAAGACTTCAGAAAGGAAGCAGGCCCACTTCACATAATGGCATTCCAGAACACTAAGCCAATGGAGTTCATTATTCTGGATAGCTTACCACACAGTCTTGCACAGTACTATTAGTACTACTATTCTTCTGCAAATGGTGGTAGAATGATTAAATTTAATAATCAAGAACCACATCTCCCAGTCAAAACAAAAAAAAAACAATATAACCATAACAATTCCCAGCTTGCATTTGTTTTCTGTGTGTCCTGCTTGCTTCTAACTGAAGAAAAAGAAAATTGCATCTTTATTCTGCTCTCATTCAAATTTAACTAAAATGTGATATCCTCCCCTGAAATTAAAGCTATTATGTATCAATATAAAACAGATCCAAATGAGCAGAGTCAGATCCCTAATGTATTTATACTCTAAGAAAATAATACAAATCAAACAAACACTGCATACATTTTTAACGCAGTAATCATTTATGACAAAAAGAACTCTTGGAGATGCAGGTATGCTGCTAAACCCCAATGTGAATGTTTCTATGGAACGATAAGGCTATATGAGCATGGTAATTATTACTGAATGCACTCTATTGTTTTATGTTTTCTACTTTCTAAGGGAGGCTCAGCAACCCACAGATGCTGTGGTGTATGGTATATTCTTTTGTCTCAGCCATCATCTCTGCAACTTCCCTGTTCAAAAGTTTTCCAGTAAGACATACATTTCTGAAATGGATACCAAAGAAACAAAACCAAAAATCTGCATAAAATTACAGGACTACACTGAGTATAAGCTGATTAAACATATGTTATCTCATGGACAGTATAAATGATTTCATGTATTGAAAGGTTGCCTGTGTGATGCCGATGTTCATGAAAATTAAAAATCTAATACAAATAGCACAAAAAATGTTGAAGTACATGTTTTTAATACGAGAAAAATAGTACATTTAGATTTCACCTGTGCAACCATTTGTATGCAGATGATTCAAACATCAGATGATTGTTTTAAATTCACATTAAAAATAAAAAAATATAAACATGTCAAAATATTTGCCAGCAACATTTCTGCAATAAAAAGGATGCCTAAATTCTGTGCTTTGGGTTTACAGACTCCCTTTTAAATTTTTTTTTTATGTTCCCTTGTAATAGTTAATATTCTCTGAAGAGGAAATGAAATAATAAACAATATTTCAGAATGCACAGCAGGTTCTCTTCTTACTTTCATTTAGATCCACAACATCTAAGTCATATAATACCCAGGACTTCTGTAAAACAAATAAAAGCAAACATTTAATTAAGATAACTGGAAAGCAGTAGTTGAAAAACTTGAATTTTCACATATTTTAATATGTAGAAGACCTGATGAAGCCACTAGATACACTTTCCCTTTACATATTTAAATAAGAGATTAGAGTTTTCTAATAAATTAAAGGGAGACTGATGCTCCCGCAAGTTACAGCTTGGTGTATTTACATTCTACAGGTGCCTCAAACATCTCTTCTAACTCTGAAGGTGGCAGAGGATGTAATGTCTTCTGAGGAGACGCTAGAAACCATCATGTAAATACTTATATGAATTGGTCAAGATATACCAGTTCTTCTGTTGACTGAACTAATTTTCACAGATTTGTTATTAATTACCTTAATCTTTGAAGTATTAGGCATGAGATGCAAAGATCTAGTTGAAATAAATAGAGAAATATAGGTCAAGAGTACCCATTAGAAAAAGGCATAAACTATTACTTGATAAAAAATATATTGCATTTTGTGAAATTCACTACAGTTGCTGTATTTTCTTAAATCCATTACAAAAAAAGAAACATAAATAGCCCCAAATGGAAGCAACTCAGTCTTTATCACAATAGAATTATCATAGCAGCTCTCTGTCCTGGTAAAACATTTATTTGCAGATTGCAAAAGCAGATTTAAAAACTAAAATCAGCAAAACCAGAACTCTTCCTTTCGGCAATAAACACAACTAGATAATTACTGCTGCTGACCAGAGAAACAATCAAAACCAGTTGTGCAATACAGTACTAGTAAATGTTGCAACTTTGAACTCTAAAAATATGAACATCGAAACCTGAACTCAAACACAATGACATAAAGATTCATTGTCACCCGCCTTGAAAAAAAAACAGTCTGAACTCTACTTGCCATTCTTGTGTATCCCTCTTGGTAGGTTAACCAAGTATGCAGTGATATACAGAAAAGTGAGTGCAACCACTGGAATCACCACATTCCTCTCTCAACCCAAACCCAGCAGTCATGAACTACCACTTCTCACAATACAGAGAAGCTTCCAGAAAGTACAGCTGTCCCAGCTGGAATCCGTGATATCCAAAATGCAGGGAAAAAAGGGGGAAGAAGAAAGTGGCATAATGTAGTCCAATGCTAGTCATTATTTAAAATCCAGTAATTACACATACAACGCCACAGAATTATCTGACTATATTCAGAAAGGTTCAGCTAAAATTACTTAGATGAATCTAAATGCGGGGAAAATAAATGCTTTCTAATGTTAAAGTAAGTCTTATGCCCCTTCAGTTCTTCACACGACCTAAACTTCTGGAGAAGATGCATGAAATCATTTTTTTCCTGCTTTGTAAGACGCTTGAATACAAGTAGCTGCCATTAGAACTTGTGCTACATGGAGACAGTATTTTATGGTCTTTGAGCAGTGATTGTAAATACAAAGTATGATATCCTTTCCAAAAAAATCAAACCAAACATAACCCTTTGTCACCTCAAGAACGTGATGTCACTCTGGTTCAGAGATAAGACACTGAGAAAAAAAAAATCCGGAAGATAATGGTGCAAAAAGAAATTTAGAATGCACTTTTGTTGAGACCAAGAAGCAATACTGAGCGCTGATTACTGCGGACACAAGCTGAGGAGCTTGCATTTCACACCTGCTTTTTCTTAAGAAAAAAAATATCAGTTCAAGTAGTACGAGTGTTACAGAAAAATATAGAAAAAAATTCTGAAACAATTTCTGAATTTATGATGAATTTATTTAACTTTAAAGGAAAGAGATAATTTTAAAGTGTTATAGTTTATAAGTAATTTCAAAGAATCACAGAACGATTTGAGTTGGAAGGGACCTCTAAGATCATCTAGTTCCAACCCCCTGCTATAAGCAGGGCTACCTCCCTCTAGATCAGGTTGCACAAAGCCTCATCCGGTCTAGCCTTGAATGTTTTCATTTAATGCTTTCAGTTAAAGGACAATAAGTTGTGTATTCCTTGAATGCTTATGATTTTTATTTGCAAATATTTTACTGCAGAATAGTGCTTTTAGGCAGCCAGTAAACCACTCCTGTATAGATACAGCAAGGATCCTTAGCACTATAGGTGATTAATAACGGCAAAACCTACTTGACAACAAAGTTGTTCATACTGTCTGTAAAATCATTACCTGCTAGTACTTAACAACAAATTACCTGGGACAGAAAGACAAGAACTATCTCTCCACAAATAAAGAATAGGTAATCGTTTGTTTTAATAGGCACGTAAATGTTGAAGACTTAAAATATCACTTCAGTTTGATTAGCCTTTCGTACAGGTTCTTCATCAGGCAGATAAGGGCTTGGGATTCATTTAAGCAGATGTGCTTTGCACACATTTAAGTGCATAATCATAACCTGAAGAGATGCTACGAGTCCTGCATGAAGAGCTGAAGCAATGAGTGCAATCCCACATAGTGCTGAGAAGGAGCCCTGAAGAGCTGCAGCACTTTTCTCACATGAAATTAAAGAGGGGAAGTATGCAAATTTTGCCCATCTCAGAGAACAAGGCAGGCAACATTCCACGCTCAGGGCTCTCTCCTAGCTCACATTTCAGCTCAGTCTAATGAAACTCTTCCCTTGCAAGGCATCCAACAAACAAAACAGCAGAAAGGTGAAAGGAACCAAAGTGGTATGAAGCTCAATTTTTCACTTCAGCATCATGGACAAAGTGAAATCTTGAAAATAAAGCTGCAGAAATAGATGCTATTCTACCCAGTAGTGATTCTAGTAAGACATTGCAATCTACTGCTAAAATACTAGTTCAGCACAGCAGACGTGTCTCACCAAACAGACAGGCATCTGTTTAAGCATTCTAAGCTCCCTGCAGAATCAGTGGAGAAAATCAGATAGGATCAGCTACTCCCCACAGCCATCTGGTCTCATCACCAGCTCTAAGGCAGAAGTTGTGTCACTATGTTACAATAGATACCTAACTTGTAGATAGACTGTGATGACTGGTATCCCTCTAATTATTATTTTTTAATCAGGTAAATAAAGCTAAGTTTGTATACAAAGAGAAATAGAATCAGAAAATAAGGGAAGTTCTTTGAATGGTTTCTAACATAATAAATTCATACAGCTCAATTAAGATCAGCAGCCTGGTCCTTGCTGGAAATCTTTTCAGATTAGCAGCATTAAGCCAAGCTGGATTTACCTACTGTGGCACCAGTTCTCAGTATTTTTATATATTTTGGAGACACAGTTCACCACTGGTTTGGTAGAATTTTTCTGTATACATTTAAATGCCCCACCCAGAGTGGAGGCAAACCCAGAGTGCCTGCTGGAAAGCTACTGGTTTTAGAGAAATAACCAGAAGAGACTGTAACTGAAGCTACTACTTCTTATAACTTCTCTAAACTCTGGGGAATGTATCCTCTCTAAATACAAAATTATTGTGGTTAATGACTGCAGTCTTTCTGTTTATATTTAACAGTGATGGTTGACAAAATTCAGCTGGCAGAGGACTTTGTGTGATGAATATCAAGGGACTTCCGAACCTGCACAGCCAGAAGACAACAGCTCAATTATTAAGATCAGTCCTACAATTTCCTTGCATCCTACTTTCTCTGTATTCTGTAATACTAGGCTTGAAATTGTTCAAAATACAAGCCAGTCCTTTCCCAACAAGGCACAAGCAGTATCAGATTGTTAGCAGGGAAGGTGATAACTTCCGGGGCAGGGATAGGAGTAGGAGAGGATAAAGAGAAGACAACACTGCTGCAAAACACCTTCTTCAATAGATAGGAATGGAAGTCTTTGTTCCCAAAACCTGCTATTCCACAATGCTTAAGACATCCAACCCACTAACAAAGCATAGGTCTCTATCTCCCTCTCCTGTTAATAACATGTGACTATGACAACATTGTACTGCAGTTATTCTGCAAACTTAAGAAAAAAACTATGCTTTAAAAAACTCCAACACCACCGATCATTTGGTTAAAGTCAGGATCAAAGTCAAGGTTGAAAGAGCTGGGCTTGCTAAGCTTAAAGAAGAGAAGGCTCTGGGGAGACCTCATTGCAGCCTTCCAATACTTGAAGGGAGCACATACATAGGGGGGAGAATGGCTGTTTACGAGGGTGGATAGTGATAGGACAAGGGGGAATGTTTTTAAACTGAGACAGGGGATGTTTAGGTTAGATATTAGGAGGAAGCTTTTCACACAGAGGGTGGTGATGCACAGAAACAGGTTGCCCACAGAGGCTGTGGATGCCCCATCCAAGGAGGCATTCAAGGCCAGGCTGGATGTGGCTCTGGGCAGCCTGCTCTAGTGGCTGGCAACCCTGCACATAGCAGGGGGGTTGAAAATAGACGATCTTTGAGGTCCTTCTCAACCCAGGCCATTCTATGATTCTTTCAGAGTCAGTCAATGCCAAAAGCAAGTCAACTGTGTTCACTTTAGTTTGGTCTTGAACTTATTTAACTTTAATAATACAAAACCAGAAAGGCTGCTATACACAGTTCTCTATTATCAGTGGAGAGAGAAAGGCACCTCCAGAACAGAGTATCATCTGACATGTTTCTTTCCATTGACTGTAGGTGGTTCCAGACAACTACATCAGCCTAGTCATTTTTGCTGGCTAAGGTTGCACACTAAGAAGAATCTCATCCTGCATACTCAAACATTATGATTTACTTTTGATTTACATGGCCTAATTATATGTTACTGTTTCCAGAACAATGTCTGGCTTATTCAATGTTCAGAACAGATTTTTTTGAATTAAACAAGATTGTATAGTAAAATTAGGCCCTACATTGTTGCAACTCTATGTGAGTTGGTACCACTTACCATTTTTGCTTTAATGTCTGTTCCACAGTTCCCATGTGTACAATGCTGAACATACTACTTAGTGTCACTAGGAAGGTTATGAAGCTAAAAATCTAAAATAGATCTAAAATACAGCATTATGAGTATTATGAAAAACCTTACGAAGAATTAATATTCTGTGGTCAGTACAAGATAAGTAAAGGACAAATAAAGCCAGGGGCTTCATACATGACTAAGGATAATAAACAAATACTGAATGTGCACTGCTTGAGATAGGGATCTTTTGGACAAACTACAATTCCCAGAACCATGGCAATAATGAATTCTGATTTCCTATGGATTTGTGTCTTGCAGTGCATTAAATTTGGTATCTGCGCTGCAAGCTCCAGCTGGAGTGGCTGGTTGAAGCAATTTTCTGTCTCTGTGTAGTTATCTCTGTCTAATGTAGTATGAACTAATGCTGGAGACTTTCTATCTGCAGGGTATTCTGGGATGTACTGCGTTATCTCAAAAATCTTGTTGCCTTGGAAGGGAAGTTAAAGAGATCAAGGAAAAACAGAACTGAGGTCTGCTACTTTCATTTCATCTCAAATTACATCCAACTGTTAAACTTTAAATGTTAACCTAAACAGTACAGGAAAGTTCTTAAATGAATTTTGACTCTACTCTGAAGATCTGTATTTATTTAATATAATATTAAAATAATCTTAGCAGTTGATCACTCTTGGGAGGTAGACAGAATTTAAGGTTTGGTTAGTTTTATAGCTGTCTTCAGAAGAGAGCAAGAACTTCAGTTGGTTGTTTTTTTCCTTTTGTTGACTATAGTTTCCATCCTTCTGCTCCCAGTTTAGAAAAATACCAGCCACTGCACCCACAAAGAGAAATACAAAGGCTTGCAAGACTTTTTAAAAAGCTGATTGAGAAGAATACTGCTTGTCAGCCATGAAGCCAAACCACACTAAAGTGCAAATAGTAACTGCGTTCTCAGTGGTAATTTGGGGGGGTTGGTTGTTTTTTTTTGAGGACTGAATCACAGGTACAGATAGTTCACTGGCAACAAGAAGCACTGCTAAGGAACAGCTGTCATCAATTAATAAGCAAGTTTAGGCCTCTCTGAGACTTGCAAGAATTATGAATTAAAATGTTATTTGTCAACAGGTCTAAGAAAACCTCTAGGAAAGGCTTTAAGTGCCATTAATATTCATTTCCACTACAGCCCTTCCAATAAAATAAAAAAACAGTTATTAGTAACTGTTGTGATTGAAAACTGTGAGCTAACTATTCTCAAAATCTGGTATAACTCCACAGCTGTTACCAGTGTAAGTTCTCAAATAACATCTGATTGTTTTAATGAGGCTACCCATGCAATTTAGAGCTGTGGCATTGAGGCTCATCAGAGAATGGTTTTCACAGACTATAAATATCTGAAAAATTAAATAGTGCTTCAGTTATCTGAATCACTGAGATACAGAAGTAATCTTCCTCTCTTAAGCCCAATAAAAGTAAAGCCTCAAAAGCAGAGATAGCAGTGTCTTATAAAAGTAACATGCTCTACTGATTTAAATCTATTCTACAAATAGAAAAAGGCAGCACAAAATGATGATAAAACAAATCTACCTTTTAGTTCCAATTGGGAATACTCATTTGAACCACAACTTGTTCTAAATCTCAAAAGAATCAAGAAGCTCACTATTTCAGTATGACCTCTATAACTCCAGATGCTGATTTTCCCCATCTACACGTTTGCTATTAAAAGTAGTTAAAAAAATGCCCATGGTAGATAGCAAACAAGACTGCATATAAAAAATCCAGAATGTCCTGAGATTAATGTAGATACAATGCATCTGAAAATGGTTTACTGTCTGCCAGCTTGCCTGTCTGCCTGTCTTCTCAGTGACTTCAACCTACCTCCAAAAAGCAAGGCCGCGCTGAATTTCCAAGAAATTCCTTAAAACAAGTTTCCTCTATGGGACTAGTAAAGCAATGACAAGCTTCCACCACTGAAGCATCTCATTAGCCTAGAATAGATGATCCTACTGCAGAAGTAAACGAGATACAGTATCCTGCTACCAAAGACACAGCTGTCTTGTGCCAAAGCGCTGTGCAATGCTGTATGAACATATCTTACTATTGCAGAGTGAACGTGTGACTGAAGTGATCTAGACTGGCATCTGTCGTGTCATTTTTTCACAGTTACTAGTCACACTTCCTACCACATTTTTTCTTCTTCACAATTTCATCGGTTACAGGAAGTTAAAATTTAAGTGGTATATTCAGATTTCACAGTTTTATGAACAAGCAAATTATTTTGTTGAACCTGATAACCATGATGAAACTGTATGATGGATTTTTCTTTTTTTCTCTGAACTCATTCTTCTCAGGCCAGTGGCAGAACCAACTGGGCTAAAGAGTTTCTTGTTTAAATCAACACATTCCTTTCACAAACAGTTGCAAATTATACACCAAAGTAATCGTAACTGAGGTCCCAATATGGATTGCAAATATTTCTAGAGTGAAATATTACTGCAGACAAACTTAAAAATTCCCAAGGATGTATTTTCCAAACACAAATGCATGCATGTAGACTGTACGACTGCATTATCAAGCAGTTCTAATAATTATACTCCATGCTGGAGTATAATGGTCTAAACGTGTTTGCATGGCCACACTAAAACCCTATTGATTTTCATGAAGATTAGTAGGAATACTAAAGCTCCACTTGAAGTAAAATGAATGCAAGCAATCTTGGAGTGAGAAATGCCCAAACACCATTTCTGAATGCTGCAGACAATTCTCTCAGATCTTACTAAATGCACTGTGCAGAGATTATAGCTTCACAGATATTTGTCTTCGCAGCAGCTAGGATCATAGCTTTTGGTTTGTAGTTTTTATGCTTCATACTACAAATATATTATTTATTTACAGTAGAAAATATCTTTTTAATTTACAAGAAAACTCAGTTATCTTATTTTTTATTTTTTTCCAGCTATTCAAAGACTTTTCATTGTCCTCATCATCTAAATAACACTTGGCAGTTAAGTTGCCAAGTTTATTTTCATGCTAAGGGAACCAAAATCATATATATCAAAAACAAAACACAACAACCCAATAAACTAAAGTTTGTGTTATTGTATGATAGAATAAGACCCTCATTTAGAAGCAGTCCAGCCCGCAGCTACTATCCTGACCATCCCCTATGGCTATTTAATGAAAACACTGCAAGTTGCGACTTTGTCAGTAATTTTGCTCGTTTATCTTTATTATGACTTCAAGAGTATTCAGAATGGAAGGCTAGTTTTGTATAACTGATATTGGTGATGAATGGCAGTGATAATGCACTGCATGAAGAACATCCATTAATGTCTAAAATAATATTCTACTGTCTAAAAATAAATTGTGATGCAAAACATTTTCATAGCTAATTAACAGTAATTCAGTCCCACACAAGATTTTTTGTACGGAAACCCTGAGTAGCAAGGACCTTTTTCACCAACACAAACTAGGTAGTTAAAGATGCTGATTGCGACAGCTACAATATTGATTCTACTACTAATTAACTCAACTCTTTAGATTCTAGTAACTTCAAATGCACTAGTGTAAATCAACCAAACAAACAGCTATGATTTCTGGATGAAACATTTAATTGTTGAACATAAAATGTCCACTCCTTTCATGAATATGTTGCCTCATAACAGTGTGCACATTCTGACGAAACTTAAAGAAAAAAGGGAATTATCCTGGCACAGAAATGGAATTATCCTGTAACCCCTTAGTATGAAGTATGGAAAGAAAAGCCACAAATGCAGCTTTCCTGAGTTTTCATCTTCTTCTTGAGCAATATTGTACCTGTTCTCCTCTGTTCTCTTACAATTCTTTCTCTGTATGTCTCTCCCTGTATGTCTACAGATACAGGATCCTCCCAAATATCACTGCAAAACCAGCACTAGTTGTTCTTCACTAAAGCTATCCTATGCTTCCACCCCTGAAATCTTCCTTTTAATTTTTTCTCATCCTACCTTTTCCAGTATTTCCTTAGTCAAAACTGAAAATGCATCCTCAATGTTCACGTTATCTTTGGCACTGGTTTCAAAAAAGGGTATCCCATGTTCCCAAGCAAGCTGGAGGAAAAAAAAAAAAAAGTTGGCAATGGGATGAACAGTCTTTAGAAAAATAAAAAAAAAATTGTTAATACTAATAGCAGTAGATGTGTAGGTGCTTCTGACAGTTCTTAAAAATAAACGTTGACTAAGAAAACGTCAGCTCAATAAATTACACTGTATTTACTCTCAGTTTATAAATTTCAGATATGTCTTAAATATATATATTTTTTAATTTATGTATTTTCCAAATGAGTTACTCACTTTGAAACTTGTTACTTGCAAGTAAGGTTACTCTCTACTGGATCTTTTCTCAAGGTCTTCATTTGTTTAGAAAATGAATCACTTCCTAGGCAAGTATTTACAGGAAATTCACAGAATGCTTGCAGAAAAGGACAGGTAAAAATTTGAGAAAAGATACAGAAAAGCAGGCATGATGGAATAAAAAAAAAAAGAGATGCAGCTTTTCACCAAGTAGAGAGAAAAGGGCAGAGATAACAAACATGCAAAGAACAGATGTGCACGTGAAAATATATTATGGTAATAGGTGAATAATGAAAATGCTTAGAGGAAATTGGCAGCATAGATTTTATATTGGCTAATTTTATTTAATTTGCTTGTTTTCACTCAATTCCAGTGTTCCTCTCTTACAGTTGGTTAGGTAATATATTGGCATAAAGAATAAAAAAAAACTCTACAAAAATCACAGCTTTTCCAGGTCTTGAACTTATTTTAATTTATACAGTTAAATACATGGAGAAAAAACAGCTGACTCTTGCCTCCCAAGGGAGAAGACCAAGGTGGGAGGAATATCCACCAGAAGAACCATAACGGGAGTGTCTATTTACTGCCTTTGTAATACCCTCTTGGTACACATCTAGAGAAAGCAATCCCAATCAAGGAAAACACTCCTACTGCTCATAATGTATACTAACCACTTAATTTGTTTGGAAGGCTCTTCATTAGGATAAAAAGTCTAATATCGCTTGCCCAGAGAAGCCGTGGATGCTCCATCCCTGGAGGTATTTAAGGCTAGGTTGGATGGGGGCCCTGGGCACCCAGGTCTGGTGGATGGCAACCCTGCACATGGCAGGGGGTTGGAATTAGATTGTCTTTAAGGTCTCTTCAAGCCTAAGCCATTCTACAATTGCCAGTTATGATTGCTTTCAATGAACTTTAGAAATAACCTAAAAAATTAAAAAAAATAAAAATAAACCTGGCACCTTACGAGAATTCAAAAATAAGACATGCAAGTACAAGAATTTGAGTGTAATATTTTAATTAAAACATTGTAAGAATGATATTAAGGTAGGAAAAAAGCAAGCAAAATGGTTTATTTTCCAAAATACTATAATGAAATATAATTTCGAAAATGAAGAAGCTACCTGATACATTTCTTAAGAGAGACTATTTCTAAACTCAAGTAGACTGCAATGAACATCTTGTTCTGTCATCAGGTCACTGATGTTGAATAATCTGGGTCCTACCATAGACCTCTGCTGTACTCTGTCCTTTACTAGCCACCAACTAGACACATGACCTTAAATTGCTACCCATTGCATCAAGTAGTCCAGCCAATTTTCATTCCATCTCGTGGCCCATTTGTCCTGCTCACATTTCCTGGCTTCCAAGTGCCATGTGAAAGTGACAAAAGCCTGAATTCAAAATATATTACATACCACCATTATTCCTCTGTTCACACACATTTTCTGGTCTTATAAAAAGCAATCAGCTGGCAACGCAAAATTTACCCTCTGTTGATTCTGCCAAATCATCTTTTTGTCCTTTAAATGGATGGAAAAGGATTTGATGACACAATCCTTCTCATGGATTGAAGGCTGATTGACCGTAGTCCTATGAACCCTCCTTCTTTCCCTTCTGTTTCAAACACAGATGTCATACTAGCATTTGTCTAGTTAACAAGCATCATGATTGTTCAGAAATGATTGAGAGGCCTCAATCTTATTGATCAGCTTCTTCAGCACAGTTGGGTAAACTTCATCATGCCACAGACAAACTCAACTTTCCTAAGCAGTTTCTAACCTCGTGCTCTCCTGCTGATGGCTGATCTGCTTCCTCTCTAAGCCCCACCAGTACACAAAGAAGTCTGGGAAGAAGGTCCAATGTAAAGACCAACACAAAAGAAAAAAAATAACATTAAGTACATGAGCCTTCTGAGGTTGTCAAATACATCTATCAATGCACTCTTATTTTCTCCATCTGTGCACGATGTTGGACAAAGAATATTAATCACAGAATCATGGACTAGTTGACAAGAACCTGTGTGTCCACCTGATTCAACCCCTGCTCAAGCTGGGACACCCAAAGCAGGTTGCCCAGGACCATGTCCAGGCAGCTTTTGAGTATCTCCAATGAGGAAAGCTCCGGAAATATATGTATTAATATACGTACTATTTAAATTCACTTTGCAGACTGGTAAATATTGTGGCAAGCAAGTTATCTCCAAGTTTGGATAGATGAAAAAAATAATAAAATCAGTGTTAATGCAGTTGTAAGTATGAGCACAGCTTTATCTAATTCACCTCAAAAAAACTGGAAAGGCACATTCAAAGAATATTTTTTCTTGCCTTTGGGAACCTGTGTGTTGTGTATACCTGTAAATAAAATACATACACGTACAAACTGAAGGCAATAATGCTACTTGGAAATTTTATATTATCCTTGAGAACTGTTGGAGAGCTCACATGAAATAAGATTATATCTTACTTACAATAAGAAAATAAATAACGCCATAATCTTTTCCAAAGCACAGTTTTATTCTAATGTTTTTATCTCAAAATATACTATTTCCTAAAAATCCTGCTATGGTTCCTTAGTGTAGAATCAGAGAGATGTATCTGGAATATTCCTAGCACCGTATCACTGTGGAGTGCTTTTTCAGTCATATTGTAATCTAAGTTGTAAAGTCAAGCAAGCGAAGATGAGAAAAGGAAAACGAACAAAAGCCAACATTTTATTTGACTATTTCTGTTAGAAAGATGTGACAAGAGGAAAATGGACACATTCTAAAATGTCATATAATCTTCAATATTTATACTTATTTTTCAGTAAGTAATACATTTATATATTGATTTGGGGAGAGAGGAGCGGAGGAGCTCATAAAGGCTGAGTTTAAACATTTCAAATTATTAATACAAAAAAATCCCTTGCAGAGTTAAAATGAGCAATCAAAATGATGCAATTACAATTTTTTTTAGTAATTTCTTTGTTTTAGTTTATATACTGGCATATCATGGCTGCTCAGTTACAACAGATTACTATAGAAATGCCAATATACACAGTAAGATTCCCAGAAAATCCTTTGATCTTCCTTGCAAGACTCTGAGCAGAACAATACTCACAGCTTATATTCACAGGGTACCATGGAATGAATTACTATGTGGCAGAGTTTGCTGTAAACCATTTTTCTTTTTAATATGGATATTTTCATCTTCAAAGTGAGATTATGAGATTATTAGCTCACTCTCTGCTAATGCAATCTTTCTCCAGCCGTCTCAGTAAGATTCTTTGGCATTTCAAAATCACATTAAAGAACAAAACAGTGTAACTGAGGAGTTGTCTCAGAACACAGAAGAAATCTAGAAGGCAGACTCATTGGTAAAGAGGTGAAGACTTGTTCCTCAAAAAATAAAATAAAAAAAAGACGACTACATAAAGAGAAGCTTTGATTGTGATTAAGGATGCATAAAATGTCACTGTTAATACCACATGCAAAACCCTAATACTGCCCTCTTGTGCACACGTGTCCAGTGAGTATTCAGATTTCTGATAGTATATCCTTTGAGTGAAACTATACCTGTATCTTTCAGCAACCTTTTTCCATGTACACATACACATTACACTTTATGCTACTTTTAAAATTTTCCTGATCTGTACTTATATAATCAGAAAGAAATGATCAGCATGCTAATCCTCAAACACAGTATAATGTGCCTGACTCAACTATCTGACTGCATACCTGAAGGGCTCATTCCAAGATTATTTTTCCTGTTTTTCAAAAGAGGTACCATGCTTAGTTGCACATTTTTTTGAGTGATGAAAACCAGCCTGCATGCCACACACTAAAAATCTGCATGTCCATCCTGAACATGGCTTATCTTTCACACTGCTGTCACTGCTGCCAAAATGCATCACCCATATCACCTTCACTGTGCTCACATCCACTGTTTGGGCTCTGTGAACATTCAGCAACTGCCGATGAAGGCCAATGAGTGCCATTTTTCTCTACGTGGCGGAATTCAACCTTTGCTTCATGAACACTCCCTTGTCAAACACCATTCTGTCACACTGCCCCTCTGCTGCCATCAGCCATCATAGCAACAAAACATAATGGAATACTGGCAAGAAGACAACCTCTACTGCCATACCACCAACATCTGCCTCTGGCATTATGGCCCAGTATAATAATATAGGAGGCATTGTTTCCGGAGCACCACACACACAATCTACACAATCTAAATGTCAATTGTGACATTTAATCAGTATCACAATTTCTTCTTCCATTGAATGGCTCCTGGATCTCCACAGGTTTTCAGTGATGGTAATATTTGCCTTTAAAACAGTACTCCTCACTTAACACTTCTATAGTCTAATTTATACTGTAGCCTCAGCTGCGTAACCTATGGTTTCAACTAGAGGACCTGGATGTCCCCAAAATGTACACGTCCAGTGTTCTTCAGGATTACTTATAGATAATTAAGATCACAATGTGCAAGCTGCCACAATAGTTCTATATGGTTAGGCTGTTGCAAAAAAAACAAAAAAAAAGGCATTGATGAGTGCCATTAGGTATCATGAAGTGATGCAAAAAGTGCCATGTATTATATGCTAGCACTTCATACTAGAACAGTGCTCTGAAAATGCAGATTTTAAAATACTTGAAATTATAATTTGAAAAATAATTATAATGCCTGAAACTATTTAAGATCATTTTAACTTTCAAAATAAAAATCAGTACTCTGAAGAGAGCAGCCAGGCATTATTTAATGTATTTCTGTTTATATGCTAAAAACAAACAAACAAAACCACTGTTCTTTTGGAGCAATTCCTAACAGAATTTTTGGAATTCAGGAGCCTTTTTTCATTGTCAGGTGAACAGCTCATAGTCACACACACTCAGGAGAACCCAAAGAAAGCATCAGTGATTAATGGTACCTTTTCTCCTTTATGTTTTGGAACTACACGTTCTGATTCCTTATCACACTTGTTGCCCAGCAGTACTATGTCCACTTCATCACCTGCTTTCTAAAAGAGGACCAGCATTAATAAGTATCAAGTTAACAAAATAAATAAATAAATAAATAAATAAAAATATATATATATATATCAAACAACATAACTCACACAAACCATCAACACAATTCCCTTGAAAGTAAAGGCTATGTTTCCTCTTGACCTTTTCATCTGTAGAAATGTTTTTCATCAGTTACCAAGATCCTGAGAAAAATGGGAGGACTGCAAAGAGCAAGAAAAAGCCACTTAAAAGTAAAAGGTATAATTTGGAACACCCTTCATGAGGAATAAAGTATATGGTGCATGGGTTTCATCTTCTGATGAATGCTTGATGTTGAGGCTTCAAAGTGACTGGAAATGCTCCAAAGTCACAGACGCTGCCCTCCCTGAAGTAATGAGATTGTGGATTAGCATGTTAGTCAGGTCTGCACCCAGCACTGAAAAGAAAAAACTAAGGAATTTGCTACACCTGAAAGAGTACCTCTCCATACTTCACTTTTGCACACAGACAGCAAAATTACAGTCCAAGTGCTCAATCTCAGCATAAAGTTGGATTATTCCGAGACACTTGGAAGAAGGCAATATATTTTTTAATGAAGTAAAATTTTAAAAACCTCATTGACTTCAAAAGGAGGAAAAATGCTAGCATTCTGACCTTGTCTCCACCCTTCGTTCCACTAATCCAGTTACATACAGGATGACTGTGAAATGCACTGGATGCTTTACATCAGTGTTATTTTAAGATAAGCTATTGTAACTATAGATGACTGCAATCATGACAAGGAAATGGAACAGTGGAAATTGCAAACTGACGTTTGCTGTTAAAAACATAGTATTTAAAACCACTTTTGAAGCCTAAATGGAAAAAATGTCTGTGTTTAGAGACGAGTAACTCAAATATAATCTGTTTCCACAATGTACTTTGAAAGCAAATGCTCACACAGCTTCTCTGATGACTCAGAAGGTTTGATCTAAGGCTGCTGATCTCTCTGCAATGCTGCTGATGAAATCTCTGGTCTCCAATAAAGTCTTAATTTTTATAACACCAATCAAGCTGTAGGGTGTCTCTGTATCTCTTCCAGAGAGAATTAAAGCTACCTCATACCTTCAAAAGTTTTCTGGGGAGAGACTGAAAGGGAGAGACATGCACAAACACATCTACCTATTCAATATCACAGAATATGACAGAAGATGCCTCTTCTCAGAAAAAAAAGAAACCCAAAACAAACTAAGAAAAAAAAAAGCACACTGATAATTCATCACTACAGCTGCAGAAGCAGGCCAGGCTGGCCAGGCTGAAAGTCACTGCTCTGCTGTCACCTGTGCTATGACTGAACAACTTCAACACCTCAAACCTGATTTTCAGAATCTGTACAAACTCGGGTGAAGACATGTCAGTTCCCCAGAGCACACACAGATGCATGTGGACACAAGTATCCCCTTTCAGAGAAATTGAAGGAAAGATCTCTATTCACTAAGGGATGACAGAATCATTATTTTTAGTCTGTTTGCTCTTTCACAACTACTTGCTTCATTTGAGGAGTACAGCAGCACAGGCACAATTTATTATTAAGGAACGCCATTTCATTTTTTTAATCCACTCTCATTTTAGAGTCAGCTAATCTCATTTTATAACCACAGCTGATGTTCAAGATAATGTAGTATTAAAATGAAGTAAGCTCATCATAAGAGTATAAAGTACAGGCCTGAAATAATCAATCAGTCTAACCTGGATTAATCGATCAAAATGCATTGGAGCTTTACCCATTAAGGTCAGTGGTCCTCCTACATCAATAGATACACACACGCATATATGTATATACACACACATCAGTCCTTAAAATAGAGTAAATAGACGATTTAATCTGGTCACGCAATCAACAATTTATTTGAAAGACTGTTGTATGTAGCAGAAGGGCTTCACCAGCGACATTTGACTTTACTCTGAAGTGAAATGTGAAAGGGAAATAGTGGCATCCTTTCTGTACAAAAACATGAAATTCATACTGCAAATTTATTTCTGCACAAAGAGCAAGAATTTTTGAAGCAGGAATGTTCCTTCTACACTACTTCAAATATTAACAAAATTTAAAGGCTAGAGACGCCTTACCTTTCAGTAAATATATATTCATACATTAATAAAATTTAATAATTAGTTTCCACGTCAATTGGATTTTTAAGATGTTAAATTTAGTTCCTTCTTTTTAGAAAACTAAAGGATATACACAAAATGACCTTCATTCTGAAAACTGATTCTGCAGGTGAGCTCTTAAAAGATTAACTCAGCATGACTATGCACAAGTCTGACCATGTACTCAGCTGGCATAAAAACTGCAGAGGTACACTGATTCAAATGGGCCAAAAATATGGCTGTTCACTGCTTCTAAAAGCTGATTGTGTATTTCCATCCTCTTTTATTTATAGCTCAGAAATAAGCCTTCCAAACGCTGAATCTATGGCTAAAAAAAAGATGATTATTTTACAGTCATTAAGATGCTATTAGGTACTCCAGCATTCACCAAGATAACAGAGTCAGGAAACATTTTTCCCATGTCGTGTAAAAGTATAAAAATGTAATCAAGGCAAAAAGGGAAAAAAAATTACATTTCTTTGAACACTGGGAATAAAAATAAGGAAAACGTTTTGCCTTGGTATCTCTCAAAAGTACCTCAGAGTTTTGGTTACTTTCCTGAGTTTTTACTCTGCTTTTAACCTTCAAAGTCCACATTTTACTGAAGCTTCCTATAAAAAGAGAAAAACCTAACCCATCTTTTTGGAAAATTTCCAAAATGGCAATATCAGCACTATGCTTTCCCCCCCCTCCAAAAAAAAAGTGAAAGTCGTGAAATTCCTTGGGGCTGCCCATGTTTGTTGAGCAGTTTGGTGGAGTTTGGATCCATCAGGTTTGGGCTCGCTGCTGGGCTGCTGTGACGGGTGGCCACATGAGGGAGCAGCACCATAGGCTCCAGACCCTTCCTTGTATAAAACTCATTCAGTGAAGTGAGGTTCTCCTCCAGAAACACCACCTTGCCTTCCACCATATTTCCACAGCACAGTTATTCAGGGCCATGCTATTTTTATGATCACTGATTACATTTGAAATGGGAACAGAAGTTTGTTTTGGGGTGCAAATGGTGAACCTGAGAATGCAAGTCTGATAAATATGCTATTTTAATGCTACGAAATCTAATGACTGTAGTAGAGGAAAAAGTGCAGCATTATTTTTCAGAAACAAAGATGAGATAGAAATACATATTGGCATATTGCGAGATAAAGGCAAAGCTGGAGAAGGTCACAAAGCCTGGAAGTTTCTTCCTCTGGCTCGCTAGACAATGACACCAGAAATGCATCCTTTGTACTAATGAAGAATAATTTGTTAGGAATACCTTGTCCCCACAGCATCACACGTAGCATTCATACATGATTCTCACAGATACATCTTCCTGTGTACTTTTCCAATAGCCACATTAAGATCTCAATTACAAATGTCTTGTTTCCAGGACTTCAGTGGAATTGTACAAGTGATGGAATTTGTCTCTTAGTAAACTTTCACTTGATTAGAACAATTTATCCTCAAACAAATCTGGGTTTAGAGACATACCAATTTAGTAAGGTGACAAGGACAAGAAATTTTCAGGTCCACTAAAAGTGCTAACAATAAAACCCACCTATGAATTGGAACAATTCAATCCTTCTCGCACCAAGCTTTCCCATCTGAGAAATTAAAACTCAGAACAGTTTGAAGTCAGATTAATTTATATTTGCAAAGCACTTTGCTGTAGTGCTTTTATTTAAGCATAATGCAGAAATACTGTCACAGATCCCAACTCTCAGCTACACTGAATTGCACAGAAGCAGAAAATGGCACAATGCAAAATAAGCAGTAACATTTAATACCCTGGTTAACGGGTCACTTCTTTTAGAAACCACAAGAAAGCTAATATATTCCACAGCAGTACATTACGTCAGCAAGTGCTTGCAGAAAATTTCCAGCATGGTGGTAATCATTAGGATATCATAATGCCAGCTTCATGGCCATATTAGCACAACGAAAACCAGCCCAACGAATTTGAAAAACATCTACAGCCTCTCATCTATGTTAGTTTCCGGTGACCCAGACACCATGTGTGAATCATGCGAGGATTTAGGTTAGCAAGGACTTACAGAAGTCATCTGGTCTAACTCTGTGCTCAAAGTAGGGCCAACTTTAAAGTTATGACAGTTGCTCAAGGCCTTGCTGAACTGAGTTTTCAGCATCTTCATGGGTGGAGATCCAGATCCTCTCTTGTACCTCTTTGTGCATTTGACCACTACCACATAAAAATTTTTTGGCAGTATGTAAGCTACCCCAACACAACTTGGAAAGAACTGCTTTCTGCAACTGATTTGGCACATGGTTAATTGCATTTGATTTTTAATGGCCAAACAGGATCAGCCTTTTAGAACAGCTGCATTCAATAGCTAAAAACCATGCTAACAGACAAGAGGGACACCTTAACAAATAAGACATCACCTATGAATAATGAACAGCTTCAGGCTCTATAATAATTTTCCTACAGCAATTGTGCTCCTAATGAGTGCATTACGAATCTAATATGCCTGTATTGGATTTGTCAATGAAGTCCTAAGATACTCAGCTGAAAGAGTATTTTTCTAGTAAGCATTTTTATAAACAATCCTATTAGTTTCTTCTAATGCTGAATACAAGTGGTAGAATAAGGCATCTGCTACCACGTATTTCTGTCTTGAACATCCTTAATAATTCATTTTTAATAGGAAAGAGCTGTATTCCACATTTAAAATAATTAAAATATATTCTTCATATTTCAATTAGTTCCTCCCCCTTACCTTATGAGAACATTACTGGCAATCTCATAGCACTAAGCATTAAAAACTAGCAAGTTTTTAAGAAATCAATGGATTTTCTAGGAATGGTGAATTGCTAAGATTTTTCCAACAGTTGAAAATAGCAACAGCTTTTGCACTGAAGAGATTTTTAAAATTTTTTTCCATTTAAAACCTCTGTGTATGGAATTAAAAGAAGAAAGTGCAGTGTAATTACTGACTCGTTTAAAAAAATCCTGTTTGATTGGTTCAGGTGTAAACTTCATCAGTCTGGCATTTAATAAAACTGGTCTCTGTTTCCTTTCTTGATTTATTTATTTATTTATTTTTTTTTTAAACCCTTGCACATTTTTAAGGGTGCTGTAACAGCAGCCACTCTAATACTGGTCATTTCTGGGGTATGAAATACTGGTTTGCATTTACAGATCAAAGCAAATGCAGGGAACATCACCATCCTGAAGCAAGTAATTAATTTTCATGATACGCCCTGTGTTTTAACAGTTATTGCTTAAAAACACTTCTTTTGCAATGAATGGTCCCATATATTTTCACCAAGACACTTCAGAAATTGATATCACACTTGGCCTAAATTAAATTTTTTATTATTATCTAGCTTCATTACAACATTCACTAATTGCTAGCTTTGAGATTGGTACAATCAATCATGCAATTTACATTCCAAGAAATTGCCTAAATTGAGTATTTCTGCATGTTTTTAATATTTTAAACTAAGGTAGTACTTTCAGGCAGAAAGATTAAACAAATCTAGTATCAATAACTTGAGTATTCTTACATGGAAGCTTTTAAGCACCAAAAACAGAAAAAAGGGTCACGCAGGTATGATTTCCTGATTGAGTTATGCTGATTTAATCTAAGCCTCTTCAGCACTGTGGCCACGAGGGCCAGTCCCATCCTTCTCTCCACCCCAGCCTCATAGCCCAGCTGTAGTGTGTTTATGCTTGCACGTAGTAGCCCAGTGACTCAACCATTCCATTTTTGTAATTAAAGATGATAGGACAAAAAATGACCCCTCCAATGACTGCATGAAGTCAGGGCTATATTTCATACGATACGCGTGTGGGCTGCTCCAAAAGTAATACCTCCTATTTTATTATATTGGCCCATGACATCAGAGATCAAAGTTTCCCATCAGTATTCCGTCACATTTTGTTACCATCTGACAGACAGAAGAGGAGCAGTCTGACAAAACAGCAACCGATATAGAAATGTGTATGAAGCAATAACACGTCACTGAAGTCCTGCAAGGGGAAAAAATTGCACCTACTGATATTCACCGACGCTGAGTATTTTTGGAGAGCCAACAGTGGATGTGAGCACAGTGAGGTGGTGTGTGGTGTGTTTCAGCAGTGGTGATGGTGGGCCACCTCCACTGGTGCAGCTTTTTATAAGCATGACATACAGAATCTTGCTCATCACTGCTGAAAATGCAGAGCTAGTGGTGGCAACTGTCAAAAAATAGTGTTTTGTAGCTGTCTATCCTATGAAGCAGCAAAACTGCTTCTGACAAGTTCTCTGCAATACAAGGTAAAGTACTGTTAGGTATACAAATAGTCATACACAAGGAAAAAAAAAAAAAATGACTCACTCAGCTAGTGATGAGGATCTCTGGCTGTAAAACACTCTTGAAAAAAGCAACCTTTATCCATGAAATGTTCTCCATTCAGAGCATAGCCCTTAAATGAGCCTAGGACAAAGGGGGGAGGGAGGGGAGAGCCATAAACCCCCTTCTGGTCACATGGGAAGTGCAGGTAAAATGTTTGCACCTGTGCTTCCTGGGCCAGCCACCTCTTTCACCAGGTGCTCTATCATCAGTTCAGGTTATGACCTAACAGTTCCCCTACAGTAGCTGAATACTTGCTTTATTGAATAGTGCTACTGCATTCTTTCTATCTGTTATTTCCATGGAAATAAATAGGAGGCATTACTTTCAGAATATAGCTATGTATATACATACTATATATGTATATATCATGTCAGGGGATATACATGGGTAATCTACACTTTCAGCTACTATCATGCTGAGTTAAATTGTAGCTAATCATGAAACCGTACCACAAGCTTGTGGTAGCAACGGTAATGGGAGGACAGTTGGACTAGATGATCTTGTAGGTCCTTTTTCACCTTGTGATTCTATGATTCTATGACTTGTTTGCCTGACAGAAGGGCATGCACTTTTCTTAACAAAATGATAAAACACGTGTTTTAGGTTGAAGTGCATTCAGACAAGCCAGTAAGAATATTTTATCATCAGGTTTCCTTTGTAGCACATTATTGAAGTTACGCTCTGTTGACACTAAGACTTCCAAGATAGCTGTAAGGTCAGGGATAATGATGCACTACATTACCATAGTAATGTTCTTCATACTGAAGTAATGTATATGCAATGTCTTACCAACAGCATTAATATCCTAAGTATATATTATTGGATATATGACTGTGTGTTGTTCATTAATTCATCTGCATACTGAATGGGTGACAAGAAAAAAGGATTCAATTTGATGGGTTTTTTTCTGAACCTGCTTTCTGAAATGGGCTCTTCCAATCATTACATCATACTCCTACCAAGTCACAGAGGAGGTTGTATTGTTAAAAAAAAACAAACACCTGTCTGCATGTTTTTTTGATTTTAATCAACAACAAGCATTATCTTATTTGGAATCATACACAATCATAGTAACTACAAATTTTCATGTTATTACTTAGAAAATGGACCTGTCTCTATCCAATGGCAAACATATCAAGAGGGACTGAGTAATACAGGCTCAGCATACTGGGTTACGATCAGCTCAAGGACCTGATGCCTGAAGGCTTGTCAGCTCCTCCCTCCTCAGTTCCTTCCTCACATTGTTCTCACGCATTATTCTCCTGGCCTTCTTGTTCCTCCTGCTTACCTTATGCCAAGTCTAATATCTGTCAGACCTTTCTGTGAACCTCATAAACCCAGTAATGCAGTGGAAACCTACCCAACCGTTTTGGCTGTTAATTTTCCACCACGTTAGAGAGGTGCAGTGAAGCTCTGGGAGATCTGACAGGCTCCAGAAGCAGAGCAGGAGAAAATATTCAGACCCAGGACAAAGTAGGTGGGAACTAACACCTTGTCTGGCAGCCACGTACTGTTGAATCACTTCCTATGTCACCTGAAACCACATTTCCCTGGCTGCAGTGCTACAGGTAGCTGAGCTAAGCCACCAAAAAACGACGGTCCTTTTTGTCAGTTTCTCCACCTTGAAACCATCCTCTGAAAGGGAATATCCAGAAAGGGGAAATAAGATCTTTCATTTGATTTGTTTAATTTGATTTTTGGGATGAAGCAACTATGCAAAAATAATGGAATTAGGAATGGGAAATCACTGGTTAATTTTGACACTGAAGCTAGTTAAAATCCTTGGATGAGATCATGGAGATTGGCTTGTTGGTGTTATGAACGGTCACGCTGGTGACAAAAGCACTTTAACTCAGTATGTGCAAAACTGGATTAAGAGATTTATTTTCAATTTATTTCAAAAAAGCACTCCTGCATCAGTAAGGGCTTGTTCTGGATAATCTACGCAGTCTTTCAGTTTCACATAACAGTAATCCTACTATCATACTGTATGCTGAGTTAAAAGTAAGAAATCGTGGTTAGGAACTTACAGCTGAAGGAATAATGATAAATTTCATGCAGTCACTTAAAACATAAACTGCATTAACTCACTGATAACCTTCATTAAAAGATCGACCACTGTTAGATTTATTTACCTCATGTATGTCTTTCATCCAGCTTGTTACACTTTGAAAACTGTCCAGATTTGTGATGTCATATACAAGAACAAAGCCTTGTGCTCCACGAAAATAGCTTGTACTGAGTGTATGGAATCGTTCCTGGCCCGCAGTATCCCTGAAAGAAATCACAAAAAGTCCCCAATAAAGAAATGAATTTGATACCAATGAACAAACTGTAGAATGGTAGCATTCTGTAAACTGTGACACAGACAGGAAGCTGGTTTAGGTGGAAGATAAGTTTGGGGAAAAAGACACAATGTAAGAGGATGCAGAGATTCCATCTGCAGTTATGCTTTAAGAAAGCTGCCAACAAGCCTTCAAGATTTTTGTACTAAAACCTGAGGTGGAGCAACTTAAGGTCTAATACTGGTTGGTGAATTCATGTACACTTACTTCTCAAGATGTTAGATACTTGTAAATATAGGTAGTCTTCTGTATGGGATGCCTGTAGACATGGCTGTCAGCATTCCTAAATACCCTTTCAAAAAACTTCAAAACAAACAAACAGAAATAGTGTAGGTTCTCAAAGGTCCATCAAAATAGTTTTCTCTTGGCAGTCTTTTGAACATGCACTTGTTCATTAATGAAATACAGAATTTTCTTGCTTTCTCACTCCCACAGTGTTCTGATACAACTAAAAATAATTAATGTGGTTTGTAGATCTGCATTGTTTGCATGCTGCAAAAGTAGAATTTTGTTAAAGCGGCCTAGTAACAATTTTCTTTTTAACTTACTAAACTCAAATTGTAAAATGACCTACAACACAATAGTTGCGCTTTACAAAGGCATGCGATTAAAAACAGACGAGATTTTTTCATGTTGTAATGTACATTAGTTGGCTTTCATTTGTGACAGATTAAAACTTACCATATTTGAAGTTTCACTCTTGTACCACTCAGTGTTATACACTTCACTTTAAAATCAATGCCTAGAAGAAAGAAGAAAATCTGTAACATTTCTGATAATAGCATGGATTTCCATTTGAAGAATGTTTCTCAACTCTAGTTATCGTGCAGTTTAAGACAGAAAATGAAAAGGAATCATATCAAACAAAGAATAAGGAACCATAAGCATTCAAAATGGAAGTCGGAAAGAAAATTATTCAGTGGTGAAAACAGTTGTGTGTCAATACATTACAATAAAAGCAATGGATGGGCTTGTCAAAGCAAAAGATATTCTGACACTACGTGTACATGTACATATTCCATTAATAGGCATGTGGCAGGACAGCAGCCTTATGGGTTAGCCGCATTAATACTAGGCAAATGCAGTGGTGATTTCAGTTGTTTCCAGTTTCATCACAGAACAGCTATAGTTAGCAATAAGTGCTTACAAAGCTGTTACATGCAAAGTGCCATTTTTCTGTTTTTACTTACAAATTCCTAAAAAAAATAATCTATGGTAGCATGAACAGGAACAGAAATTAGCTGTATTAATTAAATGCAAAGATGAGCATACACTGAAATTCATTCAAATCAACAACATCTGTCTCTACAGTCTTAATCTCTCTTTATCCCAAATACAGGGTGTTAATGCTAAAATCAGGCATTAGCACTTTAAAACAGTGCCACACATTGTCTCTACATACATTACACACCTTTCCTTAAAGATACTTCTTACTATTTGTAGTGTTCTCATCTACTCTACTATCCAGTTACTATTCCAGTTCTGGTAAATGATTCCTGGATTTGTAGGCTGTTGCAGCTCCAAAATAAGGCTGGAATCTGCATGCTATCACTGCTGCCTTAGAGGAACAATGCTCCTCTCCAATTACTCTACTGCTGAATATTTGAAATACTTTTGAAATACTTTTTACTGGTTTCCCTGCTCAGATTTTCCCCCTACAATTTATGAAGGTTATTTCTGTCAGCTACGTTAAGTAAAGGTAAGGTATCATTGCCATAGCAGGTAGCACAGCCTTCCCCATGGTCAAGAATCCACAAGGTCAAAGTACAGCCACAGAACTTCATAATGATGCCATTCGAAACAACTACAGAAACTGAAAAAGCAGTGTTACTGCTAAATGGCTTTTGCTGGCAACAAAATAAAAATGCAATGAAAAATACTTTCCCTTCCTTTTTTTTTTTTTTTTTTTTTTTAAATTTCTGAACGTATTGCGTGCAAAATGTTGAAAAGTATGTGCTCTCATACAAGATTCCAAGGGTAATAACATTTTTGGGTATATGTGGTAAAAGAGTTTAAAATTATTATGATAATCATGTCCTTCATTTGATGAATTTTTACTGAAGCTTCAATGACAAGGGAAGATGAAATTATATAATCGGTGTCTGTAATTAATATCATACAAAGCTTCCTTGATGGAATGAAGAATGTTAGCTGGAAATGAAATTTAAGCCAGATTTGTCTGTGTGCTCGTGTAAGTTGAGATTTGAACGTTATGGAAAACATTTGCTCCTGAAATTCGCACAGTTTTGTTTAATTATCTGCATAGCTTTCTACAATTGATATCAGAGCACTTGAGAGGGACCAAGCAAGCACTGGAAGGCTGGAATGTCACTTTCAAACGATGCATTGGGAACACAGAGAAAAACTATATTCCAGCGAGGGATCCCCAGCCCTATAGGAAACAGTTCTGATTTGATGTACATTTTAATAATAAATTGATATAAGCTTTTTTTTGTTTATAAGAAGGGAAGCAGAGTGCTGAATCAGGCTAAACCTTAATCTAAATTAAAATAAGGCATATTGACTTCTTAAGTCAACTTCAAAATTTATTGACCTAGAAGGTCAATGAATGTTAGTGAAAAACAGAAGTCGATACGTTCTGCATGCATGAATTGTTCATGTCTTTATATGAAATTTTATGCAAACTTAGCAAATTGGAAAGACAAAAAAGAAAAATGAGAAATACAATGCCAAAGAGACAGCTCACAGATTTCAGATGCATTTAAGCCCATGTACTATGTAAGATGAACAACATAACAATGCTAGCATTGATTACTGCTCTTGAGATAAACGTAATTTGAATGCAGCAGCTTGTACTTGCTTCTCTTAACCTGTCAAATTATACAAAGAATGGGTACACTGGGTAAAAACTCAAATTCTAGTTGTTATGTCCAAGTTTTATAACCATGACATTAATTTATTTTCTTTATACTTAAAATATTAAGTATGCCCACATGAGGACTGAAGCACTTTAAATACTGCAAGGCCTAAGAAGCATTAAAATAGTCAGCCATATAGGAATTCAGTTGTGAATTGCCCATCCCCTCCCTCAATATCTATGAAACAGTCTCTGATCGTCTACAGAAGTCCTCTTCCAAGAGGTTTTGTGCAGCCTGCCTACTAAACAGTGGGCTCTGATGAACCTAAAGAGGTTCAATAAGTCGAAGTGCAAGGTCTTGCAGCTGGGTCATGGCAGCCCCTGCTATTAGTACAACTTGGGCGATGTAAGGATGGAGCATAGGCCTGCCAAAAAGGACTTGAGGTACTGGTGGGTGATAAGCTGGACAAGACCCAGCAGTGTGCCCTCACAGCTCAGAAAGTCGACTGTATCCTGGGCTGCATCAAAAGAAGCGTGGCCAACAGGGTGAGGGAGGTGATCCTGCCCCTCTGTTCTGTGCTGGTGAGGCCTCACCTGGAGTACTGCATCCAGATGTGGAGCCCTCAGTACAGGAAGCTTTTAGAGTGTGTGCAGAGGAGGGCCACGCAAATGTTGCAAGGGATGGAATATCATTCCTATGAGGACAGGCTGAGAGAGCTGCGGCTGTTAAGCCTGGAAAAGAGAAGGCTCTGTGGAGACCCGATAGCGGCCCTCCAGTATATGAAGGAGGGCTATAAGAGGGAAGTGGACAGACTCCTTAGCAGAGCCTGTGATGACAGGACAAGGAGTAACAGTTTCAAACTAAAAGAGGAGAGATTTAGTGCGGACATAAGGAAGAAGTTTTTTACAGTTCGGGTGGTGAGACACTGGAACAAGTTGCCCAAATTAATGGTGGATGCCTCATCCTTGGAGACATTCAAGGTCAGGCTGGACAGGGCTCTGAGCAACATGACTGAGCAACATGACAGCTGTGGGTGTCCCTGTTCATTTCAGGGGAACTAGACTACGTGACCTTTAAGGTGCCTCCAACTCAAAAGATACTATGATTCTATGAAAACCACAACACACTTTTCACCCTAATACAGCTGAGATGGTCCTGATATAAAATGCTCAAAAATATTCCTGTCCAAATGGAAAGGGAGTTTGAGCAATTCAGCAGAATGCTGAGATCCTGGTGAGATGTCCTGCACAGCAATAGCAAGGGTAGAGCTGAAAGGAAGAGCTGGAAGCTCCTGGCAAGCATGAGACTTAATAACTAAGTTGCTGTTGTAATGATCTCATCATCTAACAGCAGCTGGTGAAAAGAAATCCACAGATGTGCTGTGAGTGCTCATGACTGGTGGTGGACTTCAGCCCATGAAACAGCTGGGACTCACTTTTCTGGCCCCAGAGCCACCTTACCTGAATCGAGTATCAACTGTGATTCTCCTATCCAGCACTGAGCCCTTACCATGTTGGTGCATCACTTCAACCAGACACTTCTTTCCTCTGCACATCAAGGAATATCTGAACGTGAGTAGTATCTGAGTGGTCACAAACACCAAAAATCACTGTTTTGCTAAGAAAAAACAACTCATGGGGTAAGATAGCTTGCTAAGAAAGAGTGCAGAAATCCGCTTGCTAAGAAAGAGTGCAGAAATCCAATCAGAAAATAAACAAAAAAAATTAAGATGAGGATTACAACTAGGATATCATTAATTTTTGCTGACAAATTCTATTTCCTGAGTAAGTATTGAGGTATTCACAGAGATCACAGAATTTTAGGGGTTGGAATGGACCTCAGGGGTTCATCAAGTCCAACCCCTTGCTAATGCAGGTTCCCTACAGTAGGTTAGGGAGGATTTACACCTCTACAGACTTTCCCACAGAAAACATGCCTTTGGGACCACAGTCCAGCAAAATAAAAGCCTTACGGACTGTGAGATCATGAGCCTACAATCCTATTCACTTATATCCAAGAGGGCTTTTTCTGTTCATAAACTTTCCCTGCGGCGTTATATGCAATGCCATTGTTTAAACAAAAACATTTATTCTTTATAGCCTACTACAGCCTACCATTCACAATGCAATGCATCTGCCTTATGATGCGTATAAGTTTAATTAGAAAACTTTAACTGCTTATAATTTGCCCAAACTGCATAATTGAGGAGGAGGAAGGGCACCCATCCTTGAGTGTTTAAGTGTCACATAAAGGGCTTTCAATGAAAATTTACTGTGGACACTTTTTTTTTTTTCATAAAATACATAATTTAGAAAATTTCACTACTGGAGCCTAGCTGGATTTTTTTTTTTTCCTGCAATAAGACTCAGATTTTTTCTAGTAGCACAAACCCGTGAGTCATGACAATACAGGATTCTTCACAGCCACAAGACAACCTTTCAGCTTCTTTAGCTGTGACCCTTTGCCGCTGATGGTGGTGGTGACATACAATTTTGTCAGGAAATGCAGATGTTTGAACAGCCTGGATAAGCTTTCTGCTACTCTTAAAAGTGTTCCAGCTGGACAACAGGTAGAGGAAAGCATCATATGAGCACTCAATAGGCTGCACAGCAGATAGGGCTCACTGGGCTGAGCCTGTGTGAAACTGGCATGCAGTTGAAAACATTTATTTTGATAGTGTCGACAAAGAGGAATAAGACACGATGATTAAAAAAAATCTGAAATGTTGCAATGCATCTTCTTCCTTTACACCATTACTGACCACAGCTGTGCTGCAAAGACTGAAACTTCCATTTTCTCAGCTGTGTCTGTCCTTGAGAGCACAGAACTTCTACCTTCAACATGACTATTGTTGAAACCATCATCCACAGTCCCACTGAGTTTAAGAGTCCAAGCTCTAACGTGTTTTGTAAAATGGAAGTAGGAGGGATGCAGTATTTCAGATCACATGCAAGTAACAAATATGACACGTGAGGTATTAATTTCCATTTCAGATAACCATATGCTAAACAAGTTTTTAAATCACTCAATAGGAACAGTAATAGGAACAGTAATAAAACTACATAAGGTTATGTTTGGTCCACAAAAGTTTTATCTTTGCTACTCTTTAAACTCTTTCAACCTACAACAGTACAAACATATTCTCAGCGTCATCAGTACATCAGAGTTTTTGACTCTATGGTCGTCTGAATTAAAAGTAAAAAAGAATCTGTTTCAAAATAATAATCTCAAGTCTAGGAATGCAAGTTCTAACAAACTGCATTGTTAAAGCTGATGTATATTTTCATGGATCTTCCTTGAGAGTCCTTGTTAAAGTTCATAATAGACTGCCTGCTTAAGGACCCATTTCACTATGCTTTTGTTTGTGATGGTTTCAGAAGATACTTTGTAAGAAGGTTCAGGAGAATGGGAAGCAGTTTAAACCCTGACGTGAGGAAGTCTCTATATACTTAAAAAATGAAGACTTCCCACTCAGAAATCCATAAAATGTCTGTATCATGCATGCTGAGGGTCAGCTCTCCATTCTGAGGGTAACAAAGGATGGGGCAGTGGAAAGCTGGCCGCCACCTCAGGACTGCTGGGGTGCTGGATGGGGAATGCAACATCCTCTGCATTCAATGGGGATGATCATTTCCAACTGAACAGTGGTTCTGCTTCAGCAGTGACATATGTAGCTACTTATGGCAAACGATCTTTGACTTTACACCATCAAAACGCATTAACACAAAGTCAAGAGTCTTTCTGCCAGGAAAGACGGAGGAACTGGGAGTCTTATTGAAATCCAGAGCTCTTTGAAGTAGAGGCAGTTTTCCCTGCAGGCACAGCGGTGTGCCACAGCCAGGCCTCCAGCTGGAGCCACGAGCACCAGCACAACACAAAACAATTGCCTCCGCACAGGAAAAGCACAGTGACAGGAGCTGGAGCGAAGCGCTTTTGGAGCCAGAAGCACGAGCACTGCCGTGTGCCCTCACACCCCGGCCAGCCCACCCGGCAGTACCGCTCCAGGCACCCACACGACGCTGGCACCGGGCACCTGCAGCAAAGCCGGGCAGGCACGGACAGCCTAAGGAGAGGAGTGAAAGGGGAGCGGGAGGGACGGAGCCAGGGCTGCGGGAGAGCGCGGGCAGGGCCGGCCCGCGGGGAGCCGGCACTCACCGATCGTGGGCAGGTAGGAGGAGGAGGAGAAGGCGGCAGCCGCGTTGGGCTCCGTGTACCTCCGCACGATGGAGGTTTTCCCCACGCAGGACTCCCCGGCCATCACGACTTTCAGAAGCAGCGCCGACCTCCCCTCCGCGCCCTGTCCCGGCACCGCCATGACGGGCGAGAGGCAAGAAGGGCCGGGCCGGGCTGGGACCTCAGCACCGCGGCCGCCCCGATGTCACGGGGTAGGCGCCGCCTCCGCCCGCGGGGCCGCCAGCCCTGCGGGGCCGCGCTGAGAGGGCGAGGCCGTGTCGTTGGCTAGCTGGCTTCCCCTTTTGAGGCGGGCTGCGGCGGCGGGGAGCGGCTCGGAGAGGCTGGAGGCCACAGGAGCACAGAAATACGCAGTCTGCTTCTTCTTTACTTCCTAGCGCTAAAAACCGAGACAGAGGAAACAAGCTTGAAGAATTTCCTCTTTTTCACTTTTGATTTGTAATTGACTGTCACGGTGACCTGTGGCATGAAAACCAAACGAACGTGTATCTGCCGTATCTGGTGTTTTTAGTGGAATTCCACAGTGTCCCCTAGCCATCTGTTGATGTGCTCTCTGAACTCATCTGACATGAGGGATTTAGGAATGGGGCATAATTTGAATTCAAAGTATGAATAGATATTTACAAATGTTTGTCTAACTCTGCAATGACTCTCACGACATTTCCATCTTCAACCCTTCAAACAGCTCTTCAATCAGTTCATATAGACAGAGCAGCGGATTTGACATGCTGTGTGGAGAACCCTGCAAGTTCCACTTATCACAGTTAGGGAAGTCCTCTTATCAGATGCCCCATCACTCCCTTCTCAGCCACATACAAACCCGCATCTCAATATGAAACTGGTTAGCCACAAAGGACTTTGTGGTGGCAGATTTCCGAAGGATAGCATCAGCTTGTTTCTAAATCAGTGCAGCTTCCTACATGGATGGGAAAAAAAAAATCCGCAATAAATTGGTGAATAATCACTACAAATGAAGGGTGAGATCACTAGTGGGTTAGCTCATCTCAGGATATCTGTGAGACATTACAGTGTAAAAAAAAAACACTACTGCCAAAGAAGATATCGGTCAAAGTATTCCCATTGGGGACAGAGAAATACTGTGCACTGATAAGACTAAAAGACTAAAAACATTAATTTTATGGAAGCACTTGGGGAGCTCTTCCTGTACAATGAAGCTGTAAGTGTGTGGCTCACTTACTTCAACAAAATGAAGGCTCAGAGGAACAGCATTGCTGTCTATCACAGATTAAACAGTGAGAAGAAAAAGGTATTTAAACAAAAGAATAAGGGAAGGAATAGATATACAGTGACCATGAATATATCTGAGCTATGAATTATGAGGTTTCTAGTGGCATTTCAGAACGTTCATTCAGTTGAGACAATCAAGAGACAAATCTTGATAAAGACATAACATGATGAATTGGTTAGGGAAGCTATGACTGCTGCAGGGAAGGACTGACTTTGTAAACCAGAATACTTCCTATGAGAAATGTCCCCTAATTTCTAAGCAGTTCTAGAAAGTTCTGCTTCCTCATGCAGAAATGTGAAGCTGCTGTTGATTATCCCGGATCTGAGGTATGAAAGTTCTAGCATCTTCTGGTAGTTCTTATGGATCAGAGATGATGATTCGTACGGACAATCTGTAATATTTATGGATAATTTAACATTTGAAACAACAGCTATGACTCCAGTCAGCTATGAATCAATACCCCTCCAGTCACTGAAGCTCTCTCCAGTTCTCTTCTCTGAATATGTTTTTCACAAAACTGCCTTCTTCAAATGAGGGCAACGCTGCAGCTGCCTAGAGCAGTTAGGTTTAGATGACAGTGCGGACTGATGGTATTATCAGAGATTATACTGAGACATTAGCTCAGTCTGTACCCTGTGTTGTTTGTCGGGCAACCAATTTAAATTAAAAGGACCTCCAGATATTTTGTACATTCATTTTTTTTAATTCATGAGCAGTATATAGGCAGAATTCTAATTAATTTCTTAATGAAGCTCCTAATGCCCAAGTTAACTGTTGCTATCAGTAAGATACGATATCACTTTCCTCATATTCCTATCCACAAGGGGACAGTGTTTCCATCTGTTACCACTGACTACAGCAATTTAAAAATTAGCTCCTTGAAAAGCTACCATTCAATGAATCAAATTTCATTTATTTTAAGACACATGTTTCATGATTGCAAAAAAATTCCCATCTTTCTAACCTATGTGAAGTTATTGAATTTACAGAACTAAATAAGTTAATGAAGCTGATTACTTGAAAATGATGAGTGTGTGGCTACAAGAAAATCAGTGCAAAACACAAAGTTACCATGATGTACATTGATATAGTCTTGGGAAAAGGTTTCCTTGCTTCTTATTTATCTTTTTTTTATATATATCAACTGTTTGCATATCTTTGTCTCTCTTTTTCCAGTAACATGATAAATAGTAATAATAATATCATCAGCAGGATTGTAGTCATATTTTAATGGGATATTTTTTCATTTCAACGCAGAAAAATGACTAGAATTATTAGAAATTAGTTTTATAAGGAGATTATTATGACATTGTGTTTGACATTATGACGTTGTTATGACATTTTTCATTGAATACTTGTGAATGGTTAGTATTACTTTTGTACACACAGAACTTATATTTTTTCTTATATGAAATGTACAGTTTAGGAGTCTGTTAGTTTACTCTTACAGGAACAGCAGTTTTCTGGCATTTTTTCTGAGAATGCTTACACAAGTTTTGGAATTCAGCTCCTATTAGACAGAATGTGCACTAATTGCAGAATCACTGAATCACAGACTGCTTGAGGTTGGAAGGGGCCTTTGGAGATTACTTGGCCCAACACCCTGCTCAAGCAGAGTCCCCTACAACACATTACTGAGGATTGTGTCCAGGCAGCTTTTGAATAACCCCAGTGAAAGAGACTCCACAGCCTCTGGGCAACCTGCGCCAATGCTCCATCACCTACACAGCACAGAAATACAGCCTTATGTTCAGAGGGAGTCTTTTGTGTTCTGGTTTGTTCCCATTTCCTCTCATCCTATTGCTAGGAGCCACTGTAAAAAGTCTGGAACCTTCCTCTTGCCACCTGCCATTCAGATCCATGTGGACATTGATCAGTTCCCCCCAAACCTTCTCCAGGCTGGACAAGCCCAGCTCCCTCAGCCTTTCCTCAAAGGAGTGGAACTTCAGTTCTTTCATTATTTTAGTAACCCATCACTGGACTCTCTTCAGTAGCCTCACATCTCTCTTGAACTGAGCAGCCCCGAACTGAACACAGTAGTCTCTATACGGCTTTACAGATGTGGCAGAGCAGAGGGGGGATCACCTCCCTTGAGCTGCTGGCCACACTCTTGTTAATGCACCCCAGCATCCCATTGGCCTTCTTGACCACAAAGGCACACTGCTGGCTCATGGCCAGCCTGCTGTTCACCAGACACCCAGGTCCTTCTCCTCACTGTTCCTTTCCAGCATATCAGCCCCTAAACTGTACTGACACATGTGGTTATTCCTCCCTGGGTGCAGGACCTTCTCTTACCTTTGTTGAATTTCAAGATGTTCATCCTTCTCCTTCTATGATCTAGTGACCCATCTGGTGGATGAAGGAAAGGCTGTTGATGTGGTCTACCTAGACTTCAGCAAAGCCTTTGACACTGTCTCCCACAGCATTCTCCTGCAGAAGCTGGCAGCCAGAGGCTTGGATGGGTACACTCTTGGCTGGGTAAGGAGCTGGCTGGAGGGCCGGGCACAGAGAGTGGTGGTGAATGGAGTTAAATCCAGCTGGCGACCAGTCGTGAGTGGTGTTCCCCAGGGGTCGGTGCTGGGGCCTGTCCTCTTCAATATCTTTATTGATGACCTGGATGAGGGCATCGAGTGCACCCTCAGTAAATTCGCAGATGACACCAAATTGGCTGGAAGTGTGGATCTGCCTGGGGGTAGCGAGGCCCTACAGAGGGATCTGGACAGGCTGGAGAGCTGGGCTGGAGCCAATGGGATGAGTTTCAACAAGGCCAAATGCCGGGTCCTGCACTTCGGCCACAACAACCCCAGGCGACGCTACAGGCTTGGGGCGGTGTGGCTGGAGGACTGCGTAGAGGAAATGGACCTGGGGGTATTGATTGATGCTCGGCTGAACATGAGCCGACAGTGTGCCCAGGTGGCCAAGAAGGCCAATGGCATCCTGGCTTGCATCAGAAACAGTGTTGCAAGCAGGAGCAGAGAGGTGATTGTTCCCCTATATTCAGCACTAGTGAGGCTGCACCTTGAGTACTGTGTCCAGTTTTGGGCCCCTCACTGCAAGAAAGATATTGAGGCCCTGGAACGTGTTCAAAGAAGGGCAACAAAGCTGGTGAGGGGTCTGGAACACAGGCCATATGAGGAGAGGCTGAAGGAGCTGGGAATGTTCAGCCTGGAGAAGAGGAGGCTCAGGGGAGACCTTATTGCTCTCTATAACTTCCTGAAGGGAGGTTGTAGTGAGCTGGGGGTCGGCCTCTTCTCTCGTGTCATTAGTGATAGGACCAGGGGGAATGGTTTCAAGCTACGCCAGGGGAGATTCAGGCTGGACATGAGGAAGTATTACTTTTCAGAAAGGGTGGTCAGGCACTGGAATGGACTGCCCAGGGAGGTGGTGGAATCACCGACCCTGGGGGTGTTCAAGGAAAGACTGGATGTTGCGTTGAGGGACATGGTTTAGTAGGAGCTATTGGGAATAGGTGAACGGTTGGACTGGGTGATCTTTTAGGTCTTTTCCAACCTTAGTGATTCTATGATTCTATGATTCTATGATCTCTTATCTCCCCAGACTGTCAGGATCCTTCTGAATGGCAGCACAGCACTCCAGGGTATCAGTCACTCCCTCTCAGTTTTGTATCAGCAAACTGGCTGAAGAGGCACTCTATTATTTCACCCATGTCAGTGATGAATAAGTTAAACAATACTAGTCCAAGTATTGACCCCTGGGGGAAACCACTAGCTACAGGCCTCCAACCAGACTCTGTGCCGCTAATCATAACCCTCTGAGCTCTGCCAGCCAGCCAGTTAATAAATCAAACTATCTGTACACTCATCCAGTCGACACTTCAAGCTTGCCTATGAGAATATAATGGAAGACAGACAATGCTGAAGTCCAGCACCAAACTCTGATGATGCATCGATGAA